CTCAGATGATTAAAAAAGAAGTGGTTGATTGGTCCAGCAAGTATACCGGACTGTCAGCTTAAAATGGGGGGGGGGGGGGGGGGGGGGTTTGCAATGAAATGCAGTTTTTGTTTTTAACTTTACACAAACTTGATGCTACTAGTGGGACCCTAGTAAATTCGCTCACAACTCCAGCATGAACAAGAAACTATTATGTTTTAGAGTAATTTCAAGCATAAAAGTGAGCATTTTCTTTCAAAGTCTTCCTCGGAAAACTTGACGACGCACATTGGCGTAACCAGGAAAGAGAGAGAGGGGTGGGGGGGGGGGGGTCAAAAACTTAGAGATTGAATAGCATCGGAAGCCAGGATTTAAATACTAATTTCAGATGAGTAATGCAACGGGTCGGGTGTTTTTCTTCTTTTCTTTTTGTTCGGTTAACACCGGGACTAATTATTTGCCTTTTCTGTACGTGCGTATTGTTGCCAGATGCTCGAAAAAGACTATTAGCGCAGGTAAGAGGAAATAGACGATCGTTTGCAGTCTCTCCCTTGGATCGGCGTACGCGCACCGGTGAAGCGAACAGAGGCCAGCTTGAGTAAGAGAAGGAAGATAGTCATTTGTCAGCCCAAGTCGCTCCTCCTTCGGAGCGAAAGCCAAATTAGCCAAGGTTTCCTCGACTGACAAGGCGTACGCTAACTCAAAAAAACTAAAGAAAAAGAAAAAAAAACCGACAAAAACTAGCAAGTGATTACACACACCAGATATACACACACAAACATACAAAAACATAAACTGGGGACGTAGGTACGGCTAACAAAGAACGGGGTATAGGGGAATCGAAGAGTCATCTCTCTTCTTCCTGATGCTTAATTTTCTCAAGCTCACCTTTGGCTTCCTGCGAATAAAAATGGAGAGTAAAAAGAGAGAGAGAGAAAAAAAAAAGAAAGGTACGAATGCAAACAGTTTTTGTTTGGGCGGGCTTCTCTTTCTCTTTCCTGCGGCGACCCCGCAAGGAAATTACTCAAGGTGTAGCACTAAAAGAAAGAACGGTCACACACACAAAAAGAATATTGCGTGTGCGTTTGGTTTGGAGGACCGAGCAGAGGGACTCGGGAGGATCTCCACCGTCCCAACAAGAGGACGGTCTCGGGCTCGGCGAAGCCTCGCCAACGGAAAGAACGTGAGGAATGAGAAATAATAATAAAAAAAGTAGCAAACAAGTATTAGAGATGAAAGAAAGATGGTGGGAGCTCGGCCGAAAGACGTCTTTAATTACCGAGCCCGACTCATTTGCGTTCGGTACTTTCACTGCAGGCACGCGTGCACGCGTACGAGGAGAAAGTCGAGGACAGAAAGAGAACCTCTTCAGAATACTTTCATTAAGTGCGTTTGCGTGTTTTTCGACTTTGTCTGTTTGGGGAGGACGGCGCTCGGTTGGCTTCGGCAATCGGACAACGAGCTTGCTTGCGCAAGCGTGTGTGCCGATAAAGGCGAGGGACGCCGACTGCCCGAGGGGCAAAGAAGGGTGTGGTCGCCCCACCCCAAGATGGGCTCACGTGGTGGTCCGTGGTGAGACAAACAGCGGCCAAAACCCTCCTGTTGGGTTATCTTATCGGCGATTAAAGCTTAAAGAGACTCGTGTTTGCAGTTGGGTGTTTTTTGTTTTTTTTTTCGTATTACGTCATTTAGGTATCCTGGAGTTCTGAGTTCAGTAGATTCGACACAGCGCACAAGTAACGAAGACGAAGTAGAAGGTGTACACAGGACAAGCACCTTATTCTGTGTACACCTTCTACTTCGTCTTCGTTTCTTGTGCGCTATGTTGAATCTACTAAGCATGAACCAACTAGAAGCGCTTGTCCTGTTTGCATCTTGTAGTTTGCTTTCATTTCTTGTTCGATTTGTTCAATCTACTAAGCATGAACAAACTAGCCCGCATCGCCCCCCGTAATTCGGTTCTAAGTTCCAATTATCCCCCTTTCACCCTTAAGCTGAGACTAAAAGCTCCGTCTTCAGCGCGAGGTTTATTGAGCTTGCTGACACAAGTATGAACTCGCAAGCACACACAGCCAAAGCGCTGCGGAAGCCAGCGACCTCGCGCTGTGGGCGGAGCTTGAAGTCTTAGCTTAAGGGTGCCGGAGTATACACCATTCCAATATTTACAGTTTAGCGAGCGATATCCTCAGCCCAGCACGCACATATTCGTCAATTCTGAAAGCGAGTAAATTACAGGCCACATGGACGAACACTCAAGATGGAATAATGCAGAAGCCCTTTTTTTATTTGAAAAGGTCATAAGGGAGTGTTCACTGGCGACCATAGCTGTGTGCGCAGCTATGGCCGCCAGGTTCCACAATTTTTTTTTTTTTTGCACACTTACATTTCACACCGTCTAAATTGCCGGTACTATCAGCCTATTACTGTTCGCTCGTTCTAAGCATGCGCCGTGAGCAGCGCCTTCAAACATGGCGCCCAGTTGTGAGTAAAAAAAATTAAAACAGCGCAAGGACACGGAAAAGCACAAGAAGGTAGAGGAACTGTCGTCTACCTTCTTGTTCTTGTCCGTGTCCTTGCGCTGTTTTAATTTTTAATCACGAAATACCAACTAGCCCGAACTTCTACGTTAGTCAGCTGTTATGAGCAATATTTACGACGTTCCCAAGACATATGTCACGAAGGTTCGTTTGCTCGTGTTAAGTTATAAAATGGTCAAATAAACAAAACAAAAAAGCAGACCAGGTCGATTTTTAGCAATATGTAATAATAAGAAAGAGAGAAAAAAAGAAGCTAATCATAGAGTATAGGATAAGATAAATATAAACGAAATTTTTAGAGCGGAAGCGGTAGTGTTCTGTTCGGCTTCTTCCGGCACAGGCGTTGCTATTTTCAGACCAGGCTTGGGCTTTCTTGTGTGCCGGAAAGAGAATGAAGCAAGGAGGCACACGGGGTAACGTCGGGTGCCCTGGGTTTCTTTTGGGACTTCAGTCTGCACGGAGCTCGAACTGACGGGCGGCTGTGTCGGCGACTCTCTGGCTTTCCCCGAACGGAGGTCTCCCTGGTCCGCTGCCTTGGAGACTCTGCCTTGGTCCGGCGGGTTTCTGGTAGCGAGGGACTTGCAAACCGGTCCTGAGCCCCTAATCTGGACACTTGGCGGAAAAGTCGGTGAGAAATTCGGCGGCTATGATTGGCCGGCGCCAAGGTCAAGTGTGGCGTTGGCCAATCGCGGCCGCCAGATTTCGCGCCGTCGTTTTCGCCAAGCGTCCAGCTTAGGGCCCCTGGTTTGGGCCGTTAACCCAAGCGCCCTGACCAGGCTGTCGGTCGCTGGCTGTTCCCGCCCGCCCCGCCCCCCCCCCCCCCCCCCCCCCCCCCTTTATCTCTCGGGTGCCGTTCTCTTCGCGCTTCTTGCGTCGTCGTCTTTTCTCTTACTTTAGCATGCACACTATCACACCATCAAAACGTCTGCTTCAGTTCAATCTTCATATTTCCCTTTGTCTCTGATTGTGTATTAGGCTCGTTTCGGTAAGCCAATTAATTGATTGCATTCTGATAATGAGGATATTGGAGCTGGTGACACCCCGCGTGTGCTATTCTTTACGTTGATAATGTGTTCACGGGCATTAGGCGTAACACGTGTGACGTAACATTGCAGAACGTTTCGTATTTGAGACAATTTTTTTAAATTTCTTTTTCTTTGACAAGACGCTGAACAAATACTTGAACGAGTCACGATATAGCGAACTCCTGAACCACGCTACCGTAAAGCTTCGCACTATTGGAGTCGAAAGTAATTATTCCGAATAAATACAAACATGCACCCTTAAAAATGAATCCATTGAATTTGCGCAAGACACATGTTTAAAAAGAACAAAATAATTTGTTTTTGTGTTATTGACGCCGGTCTTAATGAATGTTAGATAAATTGTTGACTTCTATCAGATTTCGTGGGCTCAACAATGCACGACGCTAAAGCAAAAATCTCCAAGAAATGTTTAAAAAGTTCACCTTAGCAAGTCTCAGTAGTGACTTCAATCACCTGTGGGAGAGCTTATTTTGACATTCTTAAATACTTTTCATGAAATCAAAGTAAACAACAACATCGACAAATAACTTTATAGCCGCCTTTGAAACCAAAAGTCAGGCATAGTATTTTAAACTTTTATGATGAGTGTAATCCAAAATAAACTGGCCAAAAAAACCAGCTTTATACTCTCATATTGCGAGCTAGGTGTGATATTTCAAAACGGTATAATATTGTGGTTGTGCTTTTAGGTACTTTTGGATCTATAGATAAAAAGGAATAAACTATAAAACAATATTTTGCAATACTGATAGAAGTGAGTACACAATGCCAGTGCTACTCTTTATTACTCCAAGGTTTGTGTAATTAAAACTTCAAAACTCGCCATATTTTTCAGAGATTGATTTCAGAAGGTGATTAAACACATGTTTTTTTTAATTTTAACTTCTCTAGCACCTAGACTGCTTATAGGGCGGAAAGCTTAAAGGTGCACATTTATTGTCTAGGACTGTAAGGTTTCACTGGGATGTCGTTATAGATATATTTTGGGGAATGTATATGCTTGATTATTGAATTTATGCATACAAGTCACAAAGTAAATTTCTCCTTGTTCTCTTCTGGACGTGACAAAGAGCAGTTTAAGTAATTATTTGGTTTCAGCTCTAGGCATAATGAAGTAGCCGAGGGAATAGGTACTTCCATAACCTTGCATATCACTGGAAGATACGGATAAACGTGTTGTCGTGATATCTAAATCCGGGAATAAAAAAGGCTCATCTTTGAATAGGCACAAAACCCAAATCTCATAGCACTTAAAGTGATGTGATAGAAAGGTCACCGTACCAAAACTATCAAGCACTCTTAGCGAATGTTAAAGGGAAACTATCTTTCTTCCCAAAAAAAAACGCGTTCCGCGGGGAAACGCCCTTCCTTTGTTTCAGCCCTTGAACTTTTTTTTTTTTATGTATGTTAGAGCGCGTGGGAGTGGAGGTGAACTCACCATTCACGACGTAGATGGAAGCCGCTATCCAGAGAAGTATCAGCGCTGGAGACTGTCTCTGCCGTGGCCGGTGGCTACAGTCTCTACAAAAGTCCCTTTTCGTTGGCCATCTGTAGGAATGGTACAACATGGCTGAAACTGCGTCCACTGGGAAAGAACGTCAGCGATGGGTTGGTGGGGGCTCTCACAATCGCGTTCAGCAGGCGAGTGCTCTGTTGGTTGGGTTCATCTGACCTTGGCGTTCAAGATTCCTTAGCTTTGTTTAGTTTACGGAAACATCCGCCGGTATGATGCGGGCTCGATGGCGGCAGACGTTGGAGTTTTTCCAAAGGAAATATGCTGAGACGTTGTAGAAACAAGAGGTTATTTCTGGAACACAAACAAGAATATAGCAAATCACTTCTCCTTGAAATCGTAGCGATTGAATGTGGGTAACTTTGATTCGAGAAGGCGTAGATTTTGATTTGGCACTTTGTTCTGGCTGTCAACGTTTTAGCGAGACGCTGTTAAGGTATGTTTTCTTTCCTCACCTGGTGCTGCCTTTTGTTTCCAAATGGTCACAGTGAATATTATTAGATCACGTGCCACTACTTTAGTAACTTAACCCCCAAGTCCGTTTCCCCAACTTCCAAAGTCCAAGGATAGTCTGTTTTGACACTTCTTCATGATGGGCGATGAATGAGATGAGCGCCTGGCGTCTGCCTCCAACTTTCTTCTTTCTTTTGGGAGTTGTCACATAAGAAACTTACGAGGTTGCCAACCAAAGTCTTTTTACCTCCTCAAAAACGTCATTTGAATAGGTGAAATGGAGGTAGCTCGCGGCTTTACACGGTGAAGTAAATTTTGCTTCACGTTTGGGAGTTCAGCAGTCTTTTCGAACAACTTTAATTCAACCAGAGTGAGGCTCTCGAACCTCTCCAGCGTTACCGAAGGGGAATCGCTGTGTAAGACAGCCGTCAACGGTTCGCTCACCACTTCCCTCTGGGAACGTCGAAACGTCACACCACTCTCACTACACTCCTCCGAGACGCTGTCGCACAAACTTCGACAACGCGCTCAACGGCGCCGTTGTCGCCGCCGCCGTTGCCGCTACGGAGAGTACGGCACGCCACTCGGACCACGCGGTTTCCCGACCGCGCGGCTTCCCCAAAGCACGCGGAGGAGCACAACAGGCGAGAAGCGGCTCGCGCGGCGTCTCGTTCCAAACGAGATTCTCGTTCGGGCCTTCGGAGGTCTCGGACATTTATTGGATTGTGGGAGGGGCGCGCGGGGAAAAGCGATCGGGGCGCCCCCTGCGCCCTGTCCATCCCGCCCCTCCCTTCTTTTTTTCCACTTTTTCTCTTTTGTTTTCGGGAAAGGAGGGAGTTGGGGAGCGATGTCCGCTTCAAGCCGCGCGGTAGCTTCTGTGCGGGGAAAAGGGACAACACCCCGAGTTGGTTTCTGGCCCGCGTTTCGGTGACGTTGATAAGGGAATCGTTCGTGGGTCATGTCGTTTTTGGAGTTGTTCTTAGTTTTTTATTGTTCGACGTGTTACAGGGAGTGAAACTCCAGTGAGTTCCGTATATTTGTGTCTCTTGAAGGAATATATTAGCTTTTATTATTAGATAGGTACTGGAAGAAATTTCGTGCTGTAATAATTGTGTTTGTATCTTTAGACAGCCGTAAGTGGTTCAGTCTGAGTGGGCGTCTGGTGTCTCAGCTCTTGATAAAAACGTTAGCCGCCATAAAAAAAGAAACAAAACGGAAAACCTTGACACTATAACGATAAACTTTGGACAACACAACACTGTCTTAGAACTTATCAGCTTTATTTCCAGTATTTCCGTGAAGTTAGCCAGCGCAGTAGCACTGCCAGCATAGGGTCTTCAACGTGCATCACGCAGTGGTTGCATGACACACGACCGCGCACTGGTACGATGCTCATTCGGGTTGGAATGGGCAGGGGCGGGGAATGACTCCAGGAAGGTACTGAAGAGATTGGAACAATTCCGTATTGTTGTATTGGCATTGGTGCCCAGATGTGTTGACGCACCGCAACTCGAAGTGCTTGTAGTGTTGTATTAGCATCGGTGTCCAAATGTGTTAACGCACCGCAACTGGAAGCGCTTGTTGTGGAGCGCGAGCTTTCGCTACAAGCGCTTTCAGATGCGGTGCGTTGACACATTTGGACACCGATGCCAATACAATACTGGGTTGTTCCAATATCTTCAGTTCCTTCACTTACTTTCTCTATCTGGATTGTTGCCCTTATGTTGCAAGTCTTTATTTATAAAAAAAGCATCAAATCTAACTTCCGGTTTGTACTGGATGATGCACATTGGCGAGCACTAGTTTCCCACATAAAAATAATGTAGATGTCTCTCTTTCAGTGGCTTCTGAGTCATTAATGCAGAAAGTATTTTGTTTACGGTGTCCTGCGCGATATGCGAGCAAAAATTGATGTGATTAAAAAATGCAAACGAAGCAGATTTTTTTTTTCATGGTGTAGACTAACGAATGTAAAGGCAGCTTTTGACGTATTCTTATTAGTTTACAAATAAGAAAATTTAAATTCCGAAATGACGGCCGATGGAGTTCCAGAATACAGGAACCTCTATGGCGCCAGAAATCGAAAACGAGCAAAAATGTGCACAATGTTTGCATTGAAACTTTCAGAAATGTTTTTGTAACTTTTGAATAAACTATTGCGTGTGGTTCGGACCTCTAGCGCTTAAGTTTGAGCAGAAAATGAGCGTTCGGCAATGCGTAGTTTAGCTTTGCGGTAAAAACAACTCCCTGTACATTTTTTTAGGGACACCCGGTACAAAGTGGTCACTGCAGTTATCCTGAATCCATGTAATTTTGACAAACCGAACAGCACAATGGTGTCAGGAGTTCCAGCTATGGCAACAGAAGACGCCTATAAAACCCTTGCACCACAAAATTATCGGAGAATATCGCCACATCAAGCAACGGAACAGGTCAACATGGCACACACGCTGTCCCCGCTTTCTAGTTTCAACGTCGAAGCGACTGATTACAACATCGCCCTCGAATGGGCCAAGAAGGTGGACACGTTCGAGAACTTTCTCGTTGCCTAGAACATAACGGCGGACGTACGCAAGGAAGCGTTCCTCCTTCATTACGCCGGCGAGGAAATGTATGAGCTCTGCCGGTCTCTAGGACGGCTCGTCGTTGGCGATCGTCAGCAGCACAGCGCATTGAGAAAGTCAACACGCGAATGCGACGCCGCGAGAGCGTTACTCGACGCTCACTTCGCGCCAAGAATCAACTCAACATTCGCCATTTATCGCTTCCTGCAGGCACAACAGAACGCCAATGAGCCACTAGATGCTTTTTATGCGCGGCTCCGGCAGCTGTCTTGTCATTGCAACTTCCAAAAACAAAGATCTCGTGATAGAAAAAAAAAATCGTCATCGCAATTACATTTATCCGTCTGCGAAAGAATGCCATACTGCATTCGCTAGATTTGCCAGACATCCTCAGGCAAAGATGCGTGTTCGAGGACGTTGAGCACGACGTGTCCGAAATCGAGCGGAGTGTCGATAAGTCAATCCTCGCATTACAAATGTAAGAACAGCGTCGCGGCCGCAAGCCAAAAAGAAGTACGAAATCGAATTCACGACCAAACTGCCAGACGCAACGACATCACAGCCTATCGACAGACTGTCACAACTGCGGTGTCAAAAGGCCGCATGACGGCGGGCAATCGAAGTGTCCTGCATTGGGAAAAGCATGCAAAGCCTGCAACAAGATCGGACACTTTTCAAGGTGTGCCATTCAACGAGTAAGACAGTAAATGCCATCAGCCAAACTCATGAAGGCAGCAGTTGAAGCGGTGAAGAACACATCATTGTAACAAAAACATTACCTCCAGCAAGCTCGTCTCCAAAAGCTGTCATCACGGTGGACGACTTGCCCATCACCTTCGTGATAGACACAGGCGCCACCGTATCACTTGTTCGTGAGGATGAACCAGAACTGTCACCTAGATGAGGAACTTGAGAACAAATCAGCAAAGGTGTTTCCATGCAGGGAAACGTCTTCCCTGTAACTTCTGGGAAAAGTTTCAGTCCGCATGGTATAAAAAGAGAGGTGCGGTCAAGAGGACACCTTTGTCATCCCGGGAAACAGCGCTCCACATCCTAGCTTCGCAGCACATCATGTCTTGGTCTTGTCCGAATCACCATACCTAGTCGAAGACTCTCCAACTGGAAAGTCGTTCGTGTTATCACTCCGTAACTTGTTCAAAGGAATTGGGAAGCTGAAGAGGCAGCAAATTCACCTCTTCGCATAAAAAACTGTTCTTCCAATCGCTCAACCGTAGCGACGCAAACCATCTGCACTGCGAGCACTTGTGGAGACAGAGCTCGACCGTCTCCTGTGAGAGGACATCATCAAGCGATCAGTTGGATGAAGACCACTAAAGACACCCACACCAAGGGTGTCTCCAGTGGTGATTGTCCCGTAACCATATCAGCCTCATGAAAATCGGATGTCCAACGACACGCACTTTGTGAACACTGCCATTCAAAGAGAGTGACATCTGTGTCTAACAGTTTATGACATTATCATAGCTCTCAACGGAGCAACTGCTTTCTTTATCCTTGACCTGATAAACAGCCATCATCAGCTGGAACTGGACGTGTATTTGAGGCTACTAACAACATTTTCAACGCACACTGCTCTATTCCTATAAAAACGTCTCAACTTCGGCCTCAGCAGCGCAGCCGAAACCTTTCAGAACACCTTTCGCCAACCCTTAACGTCCCGAATGCCAGTAAAAATATCGTGGTCTTGGGAAAGACGAAAGAAGAGCATGAAACAAAACTAGACGGAGTCCTACGTCGACTTCTGGAGTCAGGAATAACCCCTAATGAAAATAGGTGTCAATTTTACCAGAGATAACTAACCTTCTTCGGACAAATTTTTTCCTCAGATGGTGTTAGTCTAGACCCCAAAAAATGCAATGCTTTGCTACAAGTAAAAGTGCCGAAGCCACCTCAAAATGTGAAGAGTCTTTTAGGAATGGTCAACTACTCAGCTCGATTTTTACGGACCCTTGCTGACCGCAATTAGCCATGCGTGAACAGGCACTAAGAAATACAGCCTGGGAGTGAACCAAATGGCACAAGAAAGTCTTTGACAAACTGTGGCGTGTCATGTCAGACGGATCGATCAAGCCAAGCCGATCCAGCCAAGCCAAGAGAGCTCATTGTAGATGAAAGCCCGCACAGACTTGGTGCCATTTTAACACAACGAGATGGTTCGCAAGTCGCTGTGATAGCTTATGCAAGCACAGCATTAACACCATTGGAAAGTCGCTACTCTAAATCGAGCGAGAAATGCTGGTTGCAGTATGAGGTATGGAACACTATCGGCTCTACTTCTGTGGTACAAACTTTCTCTCATTGACATACCACAAGCTTCTGATGACCACCCTGAGAAAATCAAGGTTGTCACCATATGCCCGCATAGAGCGCCTTGCTCTCCACATTCAACTGTATGAATTTGACGCACACATGGCAGGAAACAGAAATCCCTCGGACTACCTTTAAAGACACCCAGTTCCTCTACATAAGAGAGGCACTCGCATCACCAAGGTCCCTAATGAGTATATCAGCTTTATACAACGCCAGTGGATCCCAAATGCCTTCTTAGTTGAGGAAGTTGCGGGGCAGACAAAGATATATCAACAGCTTCAGCTACTGTTGAGAGCCATCCAGAGTCCTATTCGTCACGACTGGCTGCTACAGGAACTAAAGCCACTTTCAGCTAGGAAAGCAGAACCCACTTTAACACCAGAAGGTCTTATACTTAGGACATGCCTGGTCCTTCCAATTGGTCTTCAAGAACTTGCAGTGCAACTTGCACACCGAGGTCACCAAGGATGTCTAAAGACGAAACAACCACTACGAGAAAGAAATGGCTTCCAGACATGGACAACCATGTGCAGATCCTGGTAAAGAGTTGTCTTCTATGCCAAGCGACGGTACCCCAAACAACTCAAGAACCACTTACGATCACCGAAGCTCCCGGCAGCCACTGGGAAGAAGTATCACCCGACTTTATGTTGGTTCATTTTCCGATGGAAATTTCGCGATGGTGGTGATCGATGGCCTTTTGCAATACCTTGTGGCACAGGCCGTCAAATCGACAAGCGCCAGCAATTCACTGCCAACCTCCGACCAGTGTTGGGTCCGTTTGACACCCCAG